GAATGGGCGCAAGTGAACCAACTTCGTACCAGTTTCATTCCAGAAAGTTATTAGGTAGAGGGCTAAGGGGCAAGGTTGCTCAAGCGCCTCCACCAGAGCGTAACTGACTCCGTCCCGCCTTGGTGTCTGACATCTTGCTTATTTGTTTGCTCTTATACCCCTCCTGTCCATTCTAACGAAGCTAGTAAATCTCAGGCTCTCGCCTGTGATCATCATGCATCAAGGAGGGTCTTTACTGGGGGAGGGGGTGATCGATGGCCTTCTCACTTTTTGCGTTTTGATCTGTCACCCACGACTTACAGTAGCGACATGCGCCTCTAACTAAGCTAGGCTAAACATTTCACAAAAGTCTTGACAAATTTTTCGCCGGTGTTTTTTTTTTTCTTTCCGAGTGGCGCGGCGGCGACCACTCATCGTTGTGCCGTTTTTCAACTGGCGGCGTCACCAAGTCCCTCACAAAAATGTACCACTCATACGATAGGCATGACTTACGGTATCTCTTTCTGCAAACGAATAAGTTGTGTGAATGGGTGATGGTCTACGCAGCTCTTTCGGCAGCATGGAGCGCTCCTTATCTCGGGGAGAACACAGAACTTCAGTGGGCAATTTGGTGTTGATTGCCACCATTGGATTCCAAATTGACCCTTGTCACATGATGGCAGGTGGTGTGGAAAAAAAATTCGCGCAGAAGACTAGGCCGGGTTTCGTCTTGCCTGGTGGCGGGCGCCCCGAATCGATACGTTTTCTGCTTTCCGCACAAGCCAACCTCCCACTCGAACTTCCGCTCATCCCCCTCCGCCTGAACGCGCCCTTGTGAGCCTTTGGCAAGATTGTCTACTCCAATCTACTAACTTGCACATGGCCTAGTCCTCGCGCTATTTTCCTTCCTCCAGGCAATCTCTCTAAGACCAACACCACACACACTATCGATGAGATGTCGGCTACTGCAACTGTGCATCACAGACACGTGCATCACTTTCCTCTACAGAATTCCACTTACCTGACCTCTTTCCCGAAATAAGCCCTTCACAAATAGGTTTTCTCCCTAGGCAGGGCTCCGAGATTGGTTTTTTCTCCCACGGACACAGCTCTCCACTCATCGATAAACAGAAAAGTATGGAAAGCATTCTGCCACCTAGATATATAAGCCGCGCCCGCCCACAAATGGGTTGCTCGGCCTCCTTCCCTCCCATATATCCCACCAATCTTTTATGTCGCCACGACCGCATCTCTCTTCCTCCTACCAGCTCCCCCAACGCGCCTTTTTAATTCGAGTGGATTCTCCTGGGCCCAAGACCCCTTGCCCACTAATGTAGTGCTTCCTCATCACTCCCGCATCGTCTCGTCTCTCCTCTCTGTCCTCAAACTTTCACAATCGCTCGCGGAATCCGAATGTCTGGCGGATGAGGGAAAGACCCCCCCCCCCCAATCCTCCCATCCTCTGCACCTTCCCTGAATTCTTTGCACCCAAGTTTCCTCTCCCCTGCTGTACCTGGTAATCAGCCAGTTTCCAAGCAAGTTGCCGTTGAGCAGTTTTTCGAAGGCGTACACGATACCTCCTCCAGTGCCAAATTACGACCCCCCATTGCTAGAAATCTACAACGTCCCGGCTTGTCCTGATCTGAGGGGATCAAGTTGGGTGGTAAGGAAGGGAGCAGGTCGCTGCTGCGCTTTCAAAGCTTTTCTCTATTGTTCAAGGGCACTTGTCCCGCACCCAGGTAAAGGTCTTCCTCTCTCGTCACCGTAATTGTATTTTTCCCGAAAGGCTTTTATTTTTATTCGTATTTTCATCAACAAATGCCCCTCGGTGCTTGTGACTTCCCTTCTTCCTCTTCTTAAGCGCTCTTCTGAAATCATTTCCATACATTAAAGCGTAAAAGCACGGACACTTTTGTACACGCTCAAAGTAGTAGCAGGGAGCTACACAGTGGGAAAATTGTCGAAAAAAGCAAAGGTAGATGGCCCTCTGGAACCGAGAGATCTTTGTTCTGCACGACATGGACGTGCATTTTTGGACGAGTTTCCCGTAGGCATCATGCAACCACTCAACGCGTTGCTTTGAGAGATGTGGCTGACACGTATCCCGTCATCCGGGCAGTTGATTAGGGCGGTCGTCAACGGGCCGCAGCGCGTGCCAGGAACTATTTGCTTTTTCCAGGCTAATTTAGTCATTTTTTCCAACTTTTCACTGTTTTGGCTGCTTTTTCCAAGATTAGCAGCTCCTTATCTTCACAAGGTGGAAAAAATGACTAAATTAGCCTGGAAAAGCAAATAGTTCCTGGCACGCGCTGCGGCCCGTTGACGACCGCCCTAATCAACTGCCCGGCGTACATCTTCGTTCATATATCTATGTATGAACGTTTCATATCGATTCTGTTTCATGAATGAAGCAATAAGAGTACCAGCGTTGATGTGAGTGCGGCCACTTGTGGGCGGGCAGTTGCGGTGGGCGTCTGGGTCGGCATGCTGTTCCTTCATTGGACGCTTTAAAAACGCTTCCTTGGCCTAGAAAAGGTGCGCACTTGCCTTCAAGTATGATTTAGTTTTGCTTGTGATCCGCTTTTATTCCTCTAATTTCTCGTATTTTCCTTGTTCAATGTTTTCTGCTTATGACTTCCTTAGCAGGATTAGGTCTGTTTTATGCTACTCAAAAAACCTATTCACTCCGCCTTGCGAAAGGAGTTAGTCTGAGGCGCTTATTGAGGCTTTTTATGCATAACCTAATCATTGCTTCACTGTCTCTTTCACAATGATTCTTCTTGTCCGAGTAGTCCTCTGTCTAAGTCCCTTTTCTGTCTCGATGGAGTTTCCATGTGATTGTGATTCTCCTGGAGCGTTTTTTGCCACATTTCGAACCGAGGGCTTCCCTGCCGGCAACTCCCTAGGGAGATCATCAACTGATCTTTCATGCTTGAGCTCTTGATGAGGCCATTGAAACATCCCTTCCACTGGATTAAATTCCCTAAAATTCCCTTTCCGAGTCGAGTGTCGAGAGCACTCTGAGAACAGGGCGGATCCGAAACCCACCCACTGAACAAATTCCCACAAGCAAAGAGGTCATGGATAGTCGGGTAAACAAGTTATTTTAAGTAACTTCGAGAATGATGAGTAGCTCCGCGGCATTGTCCTTTCGACCCCTTCCAATACATTAGACTGAATGAAATGAGCCGGAACGTAGGTGGCACAACACTTCGAGGGTGACTTCTCCCTGGCTACGTTGAAAGTCATCAATTACATTCTCCATCTCTTAAAAAGGTAAGAGGGGCTCAAATACCAGCACTGGTGGGCCTCAGGTAGGCATTCAGATAATAAACCCTACACTCCTGAGACGCGGATAGGCGGGCTCGCGTACTTCTTTTGAGCGCCGCGTGGTTTGTGTTTATAGCGGAATGTTCCAACTTGAGACGGCTTGTTATCTTGGTTTTTACCATTTCTACAAAGTCTTGTCATTACAGTTATCGCAAAATGAATGTACCCTCGTCATCCGGGCAGTTGATTAGGGCGGTCGTCAACGGGCCGCAGCGCGTGCCAGGAACTATTTGCTTTTTCCAGGCTAATTTAGTCATTTTTTCCAACTTTTCACTGTTTTGGCTACTTTTTCCCAGATTAGCAGCTCCTTATCTTCACAAGGTGGAAAAAATGACTAAATTAGCCTGGAAAAGCAAATAGTTCCTGGCACGCGCTGCGGCCCGTTGACGACCGCCCTAATCAACTGCCCGGATGAGCGAAGTTTATCTACAGGAAGCGGAGCACCGCCGCCGCTTTTCAAATAAAGTACGGTAGCCGCGACCACACACTCAGTGATTTGGACTATCAACACTGTAGTGATTTAGGTGCGCGTCATTGACGCCGCATAGCACGTTAATGACGCGTCTATAGACGTCATCGACAGTGATGCAAAAAAGTTTTCTCATCATTAAAGACACACTGTACATATACCCCCGTAGATCCTGGTCCCACCCATGTAGCGTGCCACTTTCTCCGCTCCTGTACGCTGCAAGCGCTGAGCTTGAGTATAGCGCAACCGGAGTCAGAAGAGACCACCTGGCCATCCACTGACCCTCCTAAACCCCCATTTTGAGGCGAAGGAAGCGCGACTTTAAGCGAAGAAAGTGGCATGCTATGTAGCTGGGGACTGTACAATACATTCGCCCAAAACTTGACAAGTACCAAGGTCCACGGATGTGCTTGTACAGTTTCTCTTCAAGGCTGCATTCAGACTCGGCGCTTGCAACGCGCGCCGCGCGCGACATCTTTGCTGCAGACTATGAACGCCGGCCCGCACGGCGCGGCGCCGCGACGCGAGGCCCGTTGCAACAGGTCGCGCTCCAATTGGTGACGCTCACCACTTTCTTAACTCTAATTTCCCTTTTAACTTGCCCTTTGTTTCAATTATAGCTTGTTTTATGGTTCCACAGTTTTTCAAAATCAAACATGTTAGGAACGAATTGACCGAATTCTGATCATATTTGAGTCGACCTATTAATGAATATCCCGCTAATAATGACAAAACGGCATGGAATATTGAAATGGCGCTGAAAAAGGGAACGAGGTTATACGACGTAACCACTGGTGACTGGCCGTGCCCATGTAAATTAAACGGTAGCAAAAAATACGCAGAAAAAATGTGCCAGCAGACACACAACTTAATCTCATAAATACTTACTTTATTGCCCTTTTCTATGCAAGTTTAACGAGAACACTCCTGCGATGTACTTTTCGCTGACTATGAGTCATGAAGTCATAAAAATTGTGCGAATAAAACGAAAAATCTTAAAAATTTTAGCTTACAAACATTGCATTGAAATCTACAAATAATGGGGCTGAAATCAGGAGACAAATGGATCAGAAGTCCTTCTACCAAAACAAATACAGCGCTTTATAGTCCCACATGGCAAGCCTGAAGCAGACTTAATTTTTTGTTTAACAATAAGATATCTGTACTAAAAGTTATGGGCAAAAAGTCAGACTAAGCAGCGCTGGACCGTGCCGGCCGCCACATGGCACGCACGCTTTTACTGCACTGCGTTCGAGAATATCGTGGAGATGAGCGAGTAAGGCAGACGGTATGGCAACTGATTGCTCCTCAAGGCGCTAAAAATGCCAAGGAACCAAAAGGATCGCAGTCCATCTACCATCAGGTCTGTGAAGATCAAATGCTTTCGTGTGGTAGCATCAGAGAAGACGTTGTGATGTGCGTTATTACAGGGCTGGGCAGCACTACCTGAATTCAATCCGCCGAACTTTGCACTTGATGCTTCATTTCAACGACATGTTCATCGTCATGCAAACAAATTGTTGGTGAAGATCGATCAGTTGAGGCATTTGCAGAAGGTGTGTGATGAAAGAAGTATTGGACAAGCATTTCTATCCTTGGAAGGTTCTTGGGGAGCTTTTCGGGTGCAGTTCGGATTAGTAGTGGCACCAGATGTCTCACAGCTATGATTCTACAGGCCACATTATGAAGACCTGTGACTTTCTGGGACCAAAATGCCTCATCCGAACATTTTCCAAGCCTCCCACTAGTTCACAGGTCTAACAAAGTGAGACAATGTTAATGTTAACTACCAAAGAAACTGGCAAAGTCCAAAATGCTCTCCCAGCCGTACAGGCTGTTTATCAAAGGCAGTTGGCACGATAAATCCCCCAAGACGAGTAGGATTAATACGCCTGGCAGGACGGAATTCCGCGACCCTGAGCAGGCGCTGCATAATGCCTTTTCCAAGGAAGGTGCCCTTATAAGGGCCCTATCAAGCCACAACATTCCGACCCAAACGCCACGCCCGCCCGCCCACAAATGGACGACCGTTCCTGACGCTCTAATCGATTCATTTGCTAAGCAAGGGATTGGTATGAAGCGGCCGTGATGCTGCATGGATATATGAGTACACATATGCAGCCGTACCTTCGGTAGCGGTTATTGGCAAGATGCCTACGGGAAACTCGTCCAAAATTGATTTTGAACACATTGAGAACGGAGGCTCTTTCTTCGCAGGATTTTGACCGTTTCACTTTTCGCCATTTCCCCACTATATAGCGCCCTACTAGCATTTCAGGCCGAGCACCAAATCATCGTGATAACTGCCTTTAAGTCTAGCACATGTTAGGATGAGAATGGTGTCGCGATAAGCTATTGAGCCTTTTTGAAAACCTTACCGCTTTTCTGAGCACATAGCATTTGTAAAAAGACATTCAGAAGTACTCTTTCAGCTTACTTGTATTACTTTTGTGCCTTGCGAGGTTTTTTTTTCTGGGGGGGGGGGGGGCAATGT